AAGCGAAGCAAATATGCAACTAATAGAAAAATCTAACAGAATATGGAATTTATTATATATATATATATTTATTTTTTTATTTTTATTTTTTTAAATTTATATTTATATAAATAATATATATATAGATATATTGGGATAGGAATAAGAGAGGATAGAAACAAAGCTGCCCTTGAACCAGAAGTTGGCGACTATGGTAAAGAATTTAGTTGAAATGTGGTCTGCGAGATGACCTTGCCACTTTTAATAAGTTGTCACTTATGAATATTTGTTTATTTATTCATAAACTAATAGCAATGTATAGTATAACAAAATAGAACATAAAAGATAATTAATGCAATTATTAAATTTAATTTCGTTTTTTCACATTTTGAATACTTTGATACTAAAGTTGATGTGTGCTCGGGAGAAATAATCAAAGTAAAAAGCGAATAAATACTTTGCTAGCGATTGCAGAGTCAAAATAATCTATAATTGCTGTTTAGGAACAAAATTAATATGATTTACTCTAACATTTTTAAGGGTGCAAACAAAAGATCGGAATCCTTGCCGCAGTAAATCAGGCCTGACACTCACCACGATGCAGAACCGCAGTCTTATGCAGAAGATAAAGTTGACTAAGTCGATTTATAAATGCACGTTCATCGCCCAGCATCGAGGCCTCGTCAAGAATCCAGAGGAGGCCACGCGAGGCCACGGATGGCATAGAATCCTGTCCACTTGAACAAGCGTTCGGTGATGAAGGGCTTGGACGAGGTGAGGCAAGATTGAAGACGGAAGTGGGCGCCTGTTGGTTGAGGCCATGCGAGTTGAAGAGACCGGAATTCGAAGTCAGTGAGTTGGCAGATCCACCGCCAGCCCAACTGGCAGCAAAGATTGCGGCCGAATCGGACTCCGATGGATAAAGCCCGGTCCCGACAGTCGGCTGAGAAGTGCATCGGGGGTGTGAAGAAGAGAAAATGACGGAGAATGAAGTGAAAACATAAAGGTATGCACAATGGACAAAAGGGCTTTGTGAGAGATAATCATTTTGAGTGGGTATTAAAACAATCAGTACATCTTGGAGGGACTGGGAAGTGAGTTTTTTTAGTGAATTGAGTAAAGGCCAAGACATGAGTATGCACTGCCGTCTCAAGCCTACCCGGGCTTCACCAGAACCCCGAGGGCACGGCCCAGTTTCGAATCCCGTCGAAGGGGCAATGCCGACTCTAAGAGAAGTCCCTTTGAAAGGCGAGACCACATGAGACCTTCAAGACATCTCATTGAGGACAACTCAGCTATCAGGCCCTGAACTACTTTCAGTGAGCTGGATTCCTATTCTAACAAAGTGTGTTAGACGACTTTTGGCAAAATTGTTCTCCAAGTCGAGGTTGCATATACTAATGCCAACAAGACTATCAGTCAGAAATCTACAGACACACGAAAGCGCTCTTCTTGTAGGGTGGATGGGCGAGGTGAACAGAGAGTACCAAATGAAGAGTAAACCACAAGTCGACGAGAATTGGACAGTTGACCTTACATACCATACAACTTTCGATTTAGTGCAAAAAGTTGGATGGAAAGAATTCGTGAATTGTTATTACCGGAAACCGAATCAGTGCAGACTATTGGATTCTGCAAAGAGATCATCAGAGCAAGAGACCATAATGTGTGAAAACGCTCAAAAACATAATAAAATTAAGAGATAGGTTTAGCATATTTTTTAGCTTTTTCGTAAATTATGCTTTCTTGCACTGATGATTCCTTCGCATAATCCAATGACTCGTCTTCTGGTAGGAACAATCTAACTTTTCCCTCGAAATGGAAAGTCAAATCACACTAACTTACGGAGGCATTCTTCCATAAACAAGTATTCCTCATATATATTTTTTCCAGAGAGCCGACAGAGAACACAAAAGCACGAACTAACTTATTCTAAAGCAGGCAGCATTAACACTGCGACAAAATGGTATCACCGTTTGGTATTCTTTGATGTTAGACTACTGACACTGTCAGGAAAGAGCTTGGAAAAGCATGGTTCCATTCAAAGTGTAGGAAGGGTTGAATTGTGACTATAACTTACCAGATTTGAGGGTGGATCTTTCTCCAAAAGTTGCACTAGTGCATTTGAGCCAGGTCCGACTTCATCGTAGGCCTCGAAAGTAATGCCCTCCTAAAGAATGAATTTGAAGGAAAAAAATTATCGAAAAATTGATGCTAAATCAAGCAATCATTATTATCTGACTCACAGAAGTTGCATATGCTCGGAATACATGACTTCAGCTTCCTGCCAAATAAACTAGCGCTACCACAAGCACTTGGTTGCGTGACGGGATGGTCTCTTAATTAGTATTGATAAGTAACACGGAATAACCTAAAGAGGACAGACTTACTCAAAATCCATCGACGAACAAAACTCGAAATAGAAAGCCACATTAAGTTATAAGCAAGTGGAATAAGAAAAGTATATTTCGATCAAGTTGACTCTTGTACCATGAAGTACTTTTTTAATGAATTATCTCAAATTCTACTCCTTCTTGTAAATTTGGATGACATTTTCCAACGAATCGTCGGTAGAATGCAATCCAATTGTTTGGTGTACACCATTCTACATCCAGGTAAGGAGAAGCATCCAACAATTATAACTCGATTGTCCCAACTAATCTACAAATTAGTCGAGAAATATTAAATTTTTAGCTGAAAAGATGACGCTTATTCGACATTGATCCAAGTACCGCATAGTTTGATAAAAAATAAATTCTAAATCGGCATTAATCGTATAACAAATTCCTCGCCTTTTGTGAGTTTCGAACAAACGCCCTGTCCATTACAGTGACGCCTTGAGGCATTATATCTGCTTTTTGTGTACTTCTGGGGCAATAAAAGGTTTATTCAGCGAGGATGCACAATACAATTCGCTTGAAAGCTAGAATTTAATTACCCAATCCTTATAGGCTATGTGGTCCTTTCGAAAATCCAGGATCTATTACGATCATTTAACGGAGAAACACACATTGTTTCAGGGTTATAAATGGTGTATAGGGTAATTTTGTAAATTAAAAACTGCTCTATCTGTAGGGATTTATTTTGGACTTACCATGGTACAGTATGTGGGAAGTTAAAGAAGTTTCCTTTGTTGATATCAAATCATTGGGGTGATATGGGGCAGGTCAATACCGACATACAAGACAAGTATTTTTCTATGTGCTACTTTGCTTCTTAGAATATTTCTATGTTAGGAGGTAACAAAGCATAACAGTGGCTATCGCAACATTTGCTATGCAATCAATGGTGTTGCTAAGAAAGGAGTGAAGAGTATTTATTAAATATATATGAAAGATAAGAAACTAGTCATAAAAAGAACCTTTGAACTGGAATTGGGAGTAAAGATTTCAAAAATTCAACTTTAATTTCGTTATTTCATATAATTTTTCACATTTACTTAAGTTTACCATACGTTCATATGGTGACTGCAAAATTAAACATAATACCAGAGTCGCTTAAGATGACTGTCATTAGGGACATTAAATGTTTCGTCTTATTTTAACTATATGAAACATGTATACGATGATAACGACATGAACTCATAAAAAGAAGTAGGCGAAGTAAACATCATAATGAAATGAGCAGTCAACTACTGAAAGTAGTCAATTCAACTAATCCTGCAACACAAACGCTCAGAGCTTTGTTTAAATAAAGTCATTTTCTAAAATGTATTTTTCATTTCCACAAGGTGGAAGTTTGCATATTAGCTGACTGTTGCTTCGAGTTTTCGCGTGAAAAGTGTCAGTCGATTATTTTGTGAAATAGGATGAGCACTGAATTGATAGGAAAAGCATATTACTTGTAAGGAGAACGGTTACCGATAATAAAGTTGGTAAACCTTTTGATGTAATTCAATCAAATGCTATCGCTCGAGGAGGGGAGAATAGGAGTAAGGATTGCGATCACCAAAACGTCAACCTCCAAAAATTAACTCGCGAAAACAAACTGAAGTCTGAAAGTGTCAAGGCCTTGGACAAGTCCAAACTCGACCCACTTGCGGACATATCATAAGCTGATTTCCATGGTCAGAGTGGATGAGATCAGACCAAATTTTAAACCAATCTTCTGCATTTCAACTCAATTGTAATGAAATGAGATGGATTAAGGCTCAAAAAACATCTCTAAGCATAAACATTAAATTAAATCTAGGCCTCCCATTTCAACTATATCGAAGAGCTTTCGACTCGATAAACACTGATTCCATGGAAAAAAAACAATTAATACACACACTCACAAAAAGACATGATTCTTTTGTCTATGCTCAGAAGTTTGGTCTACTCGGGCGCGTTCACATACAGTCCAACTGTAATGTTCGACTTTTCATAAACGTATAAACTGGACGTGATGAAGAGGATTAGGATAAGAGGCAAATGGAACCGACTCTTGGGGCCCTCCAAATTCCTAGTCGGTTTTAGTTGCTACTAATGCCTTAAAAGAGTTTGATCTATTGTGTAGAGATTAATCTCTTTTGTTGGGTAAGACATAATGAATTCTAAGGGCCCCAATTCAGTCAATACATGAAAGTCATGGGCGCGAAATATGCTTATAATTGTATATGAGCTTAGAGTACAGTTTCAGTATTCGCAATCGCTTGTCTTAGAGTGGCATGAAGATAGGCCTTGCCTAAATATCCTAATCTCCCTTAGAAGCATTTCCAAGTATCAATAATCAAAG